AGTCCGGCAAGGTGTACGACTGGGTGATGCCCTCCGCACGACAGAACTGTCCAAGCCGACCAGAGGCGAACTCTCTGTCATGGTCAGAGTGGAGACACAACACGGGGAGACCAATGTGAAGACGCGCAGCCACAACCCACGGGAGAAGAACGTCGGACATGTCGGCCTTCCGCTCCAAGGGAAACACCGTGGGTGTAGCGCGTGTAGTCGTCGACAAGCACAAGGAAGTAGCGCTCACCGCGCGGTCCGGGGACGGGGGCTGGGCCCCAAACGTCCAGGTGCAGGGTTAGAAGGGGAGCAGTAGCAGGGCGAGGCAAGGAGGAGTTAGGGGCACGGCAGAGCCGGCCCTCGACGCAAGGCGTGCACGGTGGCACAGTCAAGGGGGGAAGGGCGGGGAGCGACGCGGGGAGGCCCAAGACAAGACCGTGCTGAGACATGTGACGCAGACGCGGGAGAGCAGGGTGACCTAAGCGGTGGTGCCACAAAAGGGACGGGTGAGTGAGGGACCGACACGAGCAAGCTACAACGACCTGGGAGGACGCACCAGCCAGGGGGGAAGCGGTGTCGAGGGTAAACAGACCGGACACTGAGTCCCGGGGGAATGTCGCAAGAGGGGAACCTGAGACAGCCTCGGTACAAACAGTGAACCGCTCGTGCCCAGGGAACGTAGTGGTGACGCCGAGATCCTGAAGACAGCCGACACCAACCAGGTTCCTGGAGAACGAGGGTGTGAGAGTACGACCCCGTTACACCACTTGGCCTTTTCTTATTTCCTTCCTCTTTCATTTCTCTTTTTATCTCACCTCATTTGCTTTCCTATTCTTCCTTTTTCATTAACCTTTGGTTTATCCTGCTATTATACTGTAGTTATATCACCGACCAGGCTTGGGATGTACTGGGCGCTATATCTGGCGTAATCCTGCCGTAATCCCTTAAAGCCAATAGCCTCATGTGGCTATACGCAGGGTGATTCTATCTTCTAGAAGGGTCTATTCCCTTAGGATAAGATAAACCTGGTTACCTGATGTACTATGGAAGTATAAAAGCAGAAGTACTGATCGATAGTGCAACCTTTCCTCGACACATTCGATCATGTGACAGAGGGAACTTGGAGGCCTGTGAGGGAGCCCGAGGGAACAGCTGGACAGGGAAGGGAAGTGGAGCTGGGAGCGACGAGAGGACCCGCAGAGGGGTCAGCGAGAGAGACGACAGCAGGCGCAGCAAGCGGCGTGAGCGAGGAGCGGTCACGGAAGAAAATTGCAGAAGCACCGAAGTCGAGAGTGAAGGACAGCGAGGCAGTAGCGGATGTCGGGAACGGAGCTGGTGCCGAAACTAGGCTAGGCAAACTACGCAGTCCTATGCCTGACGCAGCAGGGGAGACTGATCTACATAAGGGTGCTACGCCTAAACAAGAGTACACAGGGTAATAAGATGCAGCAATACTAGAAGCGTTAGCATGCAAGGCATGCAAAGCACCACCTATCTGATCCATATCTAACTCAAAGATTGGCACGCCCTGGCAAAGCAGGCTGTGCCAGTCGGGGAGGTCCGGGGCCGGGCCAAAGCGACGACGAAAGAGATCATCGAGGCGGCGGAAACAGCGGGCGGTCGGGTGCAGGCGGCGGCACAGAGTGCCGCGGAGAGGCCTGGTCTGAAGCTGGTACTGGCACGTCACACCAACAAAGCTGCCGGTAGACGCCAAGCTACGCAGGCCGCCACCATGGCCACCACCTACGGAGGTGCCGGGCCAATCCGGCGGGAGACGAGCCCACGGCGGGGGCTGCTGCTGCGACGACTGCGACTGCTGCGACAACTGCGACTAATACTGTGGCTGCTCCTACTGCTGGGGCAATGGCTGCTGCTCCTGACTAGCTCCAGCAGTCCCCTCAGTCGAGCCAATGTCCCTGGCACCACCACCACTACCACCAGCTCCATCACCCCACCCTCCCTGGCAGCCACGACAGGCGCGGCGCGGACAATGCTGCGGGTGTGCGGCAGCTGCAGTCTTGGTCAGAGGGATCGCAGTGGCGACCGCAATCGAAACGTCAGTAAACGTGCACTGGGAGGGGGCACAGCCGTGAAAGATAGAGATTGCCGGCGCACCGCTCAATTGAGCGATAGTGCGCTGGCGAATCTCGATCTCTGTCAGGGCGGTGACAAAGGCTGTCAGGGTGAGATCACCCGGGTGCTGGCTAAGGATGTGGTCGCGTGCACTAGCAAGGCGGTCAGGTAGGCGCATAGCGATAAAGTAGAGGGTCGTGCAGAAGGGGGGAGGGAGCGCAGTGAGCTGGGCAGCAGTGCTAGCAGTGTGGTAGCGAGACTCTAGGGCTCGCAGGTGAGTGGCAAGGTCAGCAACTGTAGGGAAGGAAGCAAGGTCTGGGAAAAGCATAGGGAAGAGCAGGCGGCCTGCAGTAGCGGAGGCAAGCGTGGAATAGCGAGCAACAACAGCATCTAAGTAAGCCCTTGTTGTATCAACTGTAGAGAAATGCGAACGCTCAGACACAGGGAGGGCGTGACTGAGAGCGACCTGAGCAACTGCATCGCGAGAGTCCCAGATGGCACAGGCAAGTGCAGCAGCAGAGAAAGCCTCACGCTCAGCAGAGGTGGGGTCAGCAGGGAGGGGAGCAGGCGCAGGGGGGCGGGGGAGCAAGCCATTAGCATGGACAACCAAGGAGTTCCCACCCTGGCGCTGACCTGTGGGTTGAGCGGAGATCGGACAGCCAGGCGGCGAAGTCCACCGCGTGGCCCTCCGCGTCCAGGCGGAGTACGAAGTCAGCCATCGTGCAGGGTCAGCGACCCAGGGACACAGCGGCACAGCTCCAGAGGACAGAGCAGCACAGCTCCAGGAGGATGACTGCAAGACGCTCCAGCGCGGACAAGCTGAAGACACGGGGCCGGAGACTCGAGGAACCGTGCCGAGTAGAAGACACGGGGCCGCAGGAGCCGGGCAGGCACTGGGAGCTGCGGACCGCAGGAGACGGGCGAGCGTTTCGGGGCCGGGCTGGCGCTAGGAGTGGCTGGGCGGGCGCAACAGGCCGGACGAGCGCTAGGAGGGGCCGGGCGGGCGATAGGAGGGGCCGGGCGCGCGCTAGGAGGGGCCGTGCGGGCGCTAGGAGGGGCCGGGCGGGCGCTAGGAGGGGCCGGGCGGACGCAACAGGCCGGGCAAGCGCTAGGAGGGGCCGGGCGGGTGCTAGGAGGGGCCGGGCGGGCGCTAGGAGGGGTCGGGCAGGCGCGAAGAGGGGCCGGGCGGGCGCTGTGGGATGAGCGGGCGCAACGGGCCGGGCGGACGCTAGGAGGGGCCGAGCGGGCGCTAAGAGGGGCCGGGCGGGCGCTGTGGGACGGGCGGGTGCAACGGGCCGGGCGGGCGCTAGGAGGGGCCGGGCGGGCGCCAGGAGGGGCCGGGTGGGCGCTAGGAGGGGGCCGGGCGGGCACTAGGAGGGGGGCCAGGCGGCCGCTAGGGGCCAGGGTGGCACGGAGGGGCCAGGCGGGCGCTAAGGGGCCAGGCAGGCGCGACTAGGCCAGGAGGGTGCGACGGGCCGGGCGGGCGCTAGGAGGGGCCGGGAGAGTGCGGAGGGGCCGGGCGAGGCACGGAGGGGCCGGGCGGGCGCGGAGGGGCCAGGCGGGGGCGGAGGGGCTAGGCGGGCGCGACGGGGCGAGCGGGCGCGACGGGCCGGCCGGGTGCTACGGGCGCGACGGGCGGGTGCTACAGGCCGGGCGGGGGCGACGGGCCGAGCGAGCGCTAAGGGCCAGGCGGGAGCGACGGGCCGAACGGGCGCTAAGGGGCGGGCGGGCGCTACAGGCCGAGCGGGCGCTAAGGGCCGGGTGGGCGCTAGGGCTAGGTAGGGGGCGATAGGCTAGGGCGCGGGCGGAAGTGGGTGGGTGGACCTAACCTACTCGTGATACCATGTTAAAATGCAAGAATAACTAGAATGGGAGAGTACAAGATAATATAACCTAGACGGGTTAGCTTTTCCCAGGGGTTTGACATCAATCATAGCGTTTGTGAGTTGCGGTACATTGTGGATGTCGTTTTCCATCTGTCGTAGTGACGTTCCACGAGGAAAGTGGGTGTTTCTGTTTGAGCAAGGGTGCTTGGGTTAATAATTCGTGAGGTGCCTTTCCTTCACAGTTAGCTTATTTGATGGACTACGATATGTGTGCGTGTTTGCTCACTTAATTCTAGCACAAGTTCCGAGATGTCATGCACAACAATCCCTACAATATGTGTGAAGTGAAAACGGGGCTACAATCCCTACATGTGGGTTATTTGGCTAGGTGTACATGTGACCTCAACCCTGTCGCTTGTGAACCCGTTATTGGGCGCACCGCTTCGGCAGGACGTCGTCGCTACGTTGGCTGGGGTAAAGAGCCAGACGGCTTCGCGCAATTATTGTTGCTCCACGAAATCTTTCACGCAATTGTGAGGAACGAGCGAGTCCCGCAAATAAGGGCGTGTGACTTACTGCAAATTTGTCGAAAGTTCGTACCTTCACCACTCTGTACCGCGGTCATAACTGTCTGCAACCTATCGAATTCGTCCTTTACCGCTCTAGAAGTTCGTAGTGGAGGCTTGTTCGTTCCCCGACCTAATTGTGTGCCAAGACTTGGCTCGCCCTGCTTCCCACGCCATTGCCGAAGCGGATATTCCAAGCCTTCACTCCAAGCAGGCATCCCATAGAAAAGCAGTCCGGCAGACCTTGAAGTGAGAGGCGAACTCTCATGCCGCGAACCAGGCTGTCCCAAACCTGCTGTCCCAGGGCAAAATAACCCGTGAACCAGGCGTGCGGACGGAGGCCTTTCCTCCGGACCTGCCAAAATCAGTCCATAGCACCAAACACCGAACCAGATGAGCTACCAATTTCTCCATCTACGGTACGGCACGCCGCGCCACGGCTTTCCAGTTCCCTGCTCGTCGTCATCACTCCCAGTCATCCCATCCCAAATCAGCGAATCCAACTCCCCCCCCCCCCCTCGAACGCTCCAATCACTACATATTCACCTCAACAAGGCCCATGAATGCACGCATCCAGCTGACTAGCATTCTCGACGAGTAGTCTTCGATCCAAGCACTTCGATCTCTGTTATATCGCATTCAGATTCCTACCCTTGCACCTCTTCGTTCTCGCTCGTTCTCGATCGTGCTCGCTCGTCTCATCTTCCTCGGTCGCCTTTTCTGTCCTAAGCCTGCGAACAAGTACTACTATGGCGTACGCGTATCCCGCACCTGCACCTGCACCACCCGTGGCCGCGCCTGTACAGTTCAATGCAGCCCCGATGGGCATGTGGACCACGGGATGCTGCGGCTGCTTCGAGGACTGTGAAGCATGTAAGGTCTACTGGTTTCTGGGAAGAGATTACCTTTTACGAGTTTTTTTGTCCCGAGCCGACTCAGAAGCCCCGAATGGCACGAGGGCGATAGCCATTTGTGAGGAGAGATTCGTAATTCTGAATCTTCATCGAATCTGGAGAACTTATGTAGTATCTCGACATCACAATTGGCCGGCGTTTTTATAAGGAAGCTGGAAATATTGTGTTGCGACATGCACGCACGCATCACGTCACGTTTATTCCTGCGTCTCTGTTCCGTTCGTCTAGGAGATGTTTTGCGCTTTTCCTGATATCCAGCTAAATTTCCACCCCCATGATGCTGCGATATTTCTCCCCTGCGTAGTGTTTGGCGGAATTGAGCCGCACTGATGTTTCGCCAACTGTTTTGCGTTTCCACCATGTCCGAATTTTCGACCCCAGGCTGCTGCGCCTACTTTTGCCCCTGTGTGGTGTTTGGCCGCGTCGCGGAGATTGCGTCGGACGGATCCGTGGGTAAGTACACTCGCAACGGACGAAAAACATGGGGACGTACACTCTGAACGTTGAACGTCTTCCAGTTCCGACGCTCGACCGGAACAGGGCGAAATGGGTCATCAGGGGTTTTCACCTCTTTACGCCGCCTGCTCCCTCTGTGTGTCTCACCTTTGCTTTTCAACGTCGCCTTCACAGCGATACCGATTCGACGCTCTAAAAAAATAGCGTGCTTTCATCCGTTCCTTCCTCATATGCTCAGATTTCAACCCAGAAAAGGCGTCTTTATTCCCCTGTTTATCTTCGCAGCCATGGAGGAGGCCTGCGCGATCTGGTACCTCGTCCAGATCTGTCTCCTCGCCGGATGCGTGTACTCCTTCGGTGAGTTCCTCCCATCTATAGCTTATCAGTGAGCTTCCTCTTTTTTTCTTTGCAGGGTGTTTTTGAGAATTCTCAAAAATACACCGCGAAATCAAGGAGGCGTGCGCGCTCCGGTACCTCGTCGAGGTCTGCCCCTTCGCTGGATGCGTGTACTCCTTTGGTGAGTTCCTCTCATCGACAGCTTTTCTGTGAGCTTCCTCTTGGTTGCGAGGATGCAAGGGCCAAGCAGGCTGCTGTGAGGCTCCTCACCTCACACCATCTCATGCCATGATCCGATTATGCTTCCCACGGCCCCGCTTTTCCATGTCACAGCATGGTACGATTATTATCAGACGACTGTCACAGCATGAACATGCATCCGTCCGTCCATCATTCTCTCCGTGCATTCCCCACGCGTCCATCCGACCGTCCGTTTGTCCTCCTCCTTCTCCTCTCTGCCTCCCAGGTTTCCGGTCGAAGCTGAGGGTCAAGTACAATCTGCCTGGCGATACGGTCAATGATTTTCTCATGCACTGGTGCTGCCAGTGCTGCGCATTCTCCCAGGAGTACCGGGAGCTAAAGAACCGCGGATGGAATCTTGCAGAGGGTGAGTTGATAACCGCCATGGCGGTTATCCACTAGTCTACCTCATTGGACTTCAAGCTGATCCACCTTTGAATCAGTGACCTTGTTTTGTGCCTTTTGAGTGCCCTACTAATGCATGCCCTCTGTTCTTGCACCAACAGGTTACAGAGCGAACATTATGAGGTTCCAAGCTGGAAACGTCCCGCCTCAGAATCAGTTCATGTCCAAGCAGTAGATGCCTTTATATTCAATAAAAATGTGATTAGAGTAGATGCCCTTACTGTCAAACATATTTGTATATGTTCTACTAGGCTAGATAGGTACATGCTCTTAGAGGGTACAACCACTTGAACAAAATCAACCTGTGTGTCGCATTCTAGTCAACTTTTTACTCTGAGATGGCATCACGCGCTAGGTTAGGTCCTCCCTGCCCACCCGCGCTTCCGCTCTCGTCCTAGTCCTAGCTGTCAAATATAAGTATAACTCATATTTGTATAGACTGTATAGGGTCACCTCTTAGAGGGTACAACACTCTTAGGTATATGCCCTTGTTCTCTCTCTCTATCTAACACTTGTTCAGTTTTTCTTCTCGACATGGTATCACCCGTAGGTTCGACCCCCCCCCCCCCCCCCCCACCTACCGCTTCCGCCCGTGCCTCCTAGGCCCCGTCGCGCTGCCCCCACCTAGGCCCCGTCGTGCCCCTATCGCGCCTCCTAACCCGTCACGCCCCTCCTGGGCCCCTATCGCGCCTCCTAGCCCGTCACGTCCCTCCTGGGCCCCTCCCGCGCCACCTGGACTTGTCTGACTGGCTTTTCTATCACCCGCCGTCTCACCGCTTCCTCCACTCTCGTGACGTTACCTTTGACGAGTCGGTCTCTTTCTACCGCCGCTTCCCTCACCGAGGTCTCCCAGTTGCCGCCCCCCTGTTCCTTGCTCCCTCTCCCCCGGTAGCCCCTGCCCCTCTCCCGCCTCGTCCTGCCCCGTCTGGTGTCTCTCACGTCACTCCCCTCCCGTCGGTTGTCCCCGTTGAGGAGTCTGCTGACTCTGGTGGTACCCCCGGTCTGTCCTTGCCGCGTCCCCCTTCCCCGGTGCCTCCGCCCCCACTGTCGCAGTCGCCGACCCAGGTGCAGCCACCGCCGCCGTCGCCGCCGCAGCCGTCGCCGCTGTTGCCGCCTCCGCAGCCGTCGCCGCCACTGCCGCTGCTGCTCTTGGCCCCTGGGGGTGCTGGTGTGGAGGAGGGTGTTCGTCCTGCGGCGTCTGGGGGTGCCGCTGGTGTTGGAGGGGGTTCTCGCTCTGGGGGTGTTGGTTCTGGGGGTGCTGCTGTTGAGTGTTCTGCCGATGGTCGTTCTGCCTCTCCTGGTCCGAGGGTTCCGGCCCAGCCGTCGTCGCCGCCGCAGCAGCCGTCGCCGCCGGTCTCCGCTCTCCGCTCTCCGCCTGCTTGGCCTTCCCTCCCCGGACCGTGCGACAGTGTCTCCCCCACCGCCTGCTGACCTTCCTGTCTATGGTCCTGTGTTCCCGCCGCCAGACTCGTCTCCGGCCCGTCTTCCTCCTCGTTCCCCTCCTGTGTCTCCTCCGCTGTCCCCTGACCCTACACCTCCGTCTCACATTTGGGCTCGCCGTCCCTCCCGTGCTCGTCCCGTCTCTCCTGTCCTGCGCTCCCACCCTATGTTGCTCCGTTCCCACTCGTCTCGTCCTCCCCTCCTCCCGTCCCCTCCTCCCTCGTCCCTTGCTGTTGCACCTTCTCCTTTCTCAGACTACCTCCGAGCTGCTTGTCCCCTTGTCCCTCGGGTTCTTGCCTCGCTTGTTACCGACCTTTCTGTTCCTGTCTCGCGCCTTGACGCGCTTGTCGCTGCTGTCGCTGACTTCGCCTCTACCCGCCGCCTTGACTACGCTACCGCTCTGGTCTCTGACCCTGCCCGTCCTCCGTCCGTCGGGGGTGCTCCTGCCGTTGGCAGTAACGTCCTAGAGGACAGGCAGTACGAGCTTGCTTTCCTTTCCGAGGCTGCTCCCCATCTCTGCTCCATGCTGTTAGTCCCTGAGGGTGACCCAGACGCCTTCGACATCCCGACCCCTCGCACCTACGCTGAGGCCACCTCAGGACCTTGGGCCTCTCAGTGGATAGCTGCCATGGAGCAGGAGATGGCATCTTGGAGGTCCACCGGCACCTACGTCGACGCAGTTCCCCTGCCTGGGGTGAACGTAGTCGATGGTCGGTGGCTCTTCAAGGTGAAGCGCCCCCCTGGAGAGCCGCCTGTCTTCAAGGCGCGCTACGTGGCCAGATGTTTCAGTCAGCGCGAGGCCGTTGACTTCTTCCAGACCTTCGCCCCGACACCGAAGATGACCACTCTTCGGGCGCTGCTACACGTAGCAGCACAGCGCGACTACGAGCTTCACTCCCTCTACTTCTCTACTGCCTTTCTTCAGGGCAGCCTACACGAGCAGGTCTACCTGCGCCGACCACACGGCTTCACTGGTACCTTCCCTCCTGGGACCCAGTGGCTTCTCAGGCGCCCGGTCTACGGCCTGCGTCAGGCTCCCCGCGAGTGGCACAACACGCTACGTGCCACGTTAGCAGACCTGCAGTTCTTTCCGTCCTCTGCTGACCCTTCACTGTTTGTGCGTTCCGGCCAGACTCCGTTCTACATCCTTGTCTACGTAGACGACCTGGTCTTCGCTACTCCTGGCAGGGACGCACCGGCCTCTGTGAAGACTGAGCTGCTGAAGAGACACACCTGCACTGACCTTGGAGAGCTGCGTCGCTATCTTGGCCTGCAGATCTCTAGGGACTGAGCAGCACGCACCATCACTCTGACCCAGTCACACTTGGTGCGTCAGGTCCTTCAGAGGTTCGGTCTTCAGTTCTCCTCTGCACAGCCCACACCTCTACCTGTAGACCACGGGCTCTCCGCTCCTGTTCCTGCGGAGCCAGTAGAGCCCAGTGGCCCCTACGCAGAGCTGGTGGGTTGCCTCATGTACCTGATGACCTGCACTCCCCCAGATCTCGCATACCCTCTCAGCATCCTGACTCGCTTTGTGGCCACTGGCAGACACCGACCACAGCACTAGTCGGCCGCTAAGAGGGTTTTGCAATATCTAGCAAGTACATCAGGCATGGGGTTAGTGTTAGGAGGACGCAGGCCAGTGGTCCTCACTGGGCACACAGACGCTTCTTGGGCAGACGACTCTGAGACGCTCAGGTCGTCGCAGGGCTACTGTTTTAGCCTTGGTTCGGGTGCTATCTCTTGGAGATCCACTCGCTCGTCGTCTGTTGCTCAATCGAGCTGTGAGGCTGAGATCTACGCTGGTGCCATGGCGGCACAGGAGCTCCGCTGGCTGACCTTCTTGCTCACAGACTTAGGTGAGCGGCCTAGCTCTGCCCCAGTCCTGTACGCTGACAACAGGGCCATGATACTCCTGTGTCATGAGCCTCGACTTGAGGGCAGAGCGAAGCACATCCAGCTGCGGTACTTCCTTCTGCGCGAGCTACAGCAGCGCCGCCAGGCCCGCGTAGTTCACTTGGCCTCTAGTGCCAACACAGCTGATATCTTTACGAAGGCGCTTGCGCCTAAAGATCATCAGCGGCACTGTGTACAGCTCGGTCTAGTTCCTGTAGCCTCTCACTTGCTAGGACCTTGACTTTGTGCTGTCCTATATATATCTATATATGTACTCTGACTGGACTTGTGTCCTCTCCCAGTGGCTGGACTAGTAGTGCCGCCCTGGTCTTGTTCTTGTTTTGCCTGTACTCCTTTTGACTGGTCTTTAGACCCTTGTCTCAGTGGCTGGACTAGTAGTGCCGCCCTGAGCCGCTTGTTCAGGATTTGCCCCTATGCAGTCTAGGGGGTGTGTCAAATATATGTATAGCTCATATTAGTATAGACTGTATAGGGTCACCTCTTAGAGGGTACAACACTCTTAGGTATATACCCTTGTTCTCTCTCTTTATCAAACACTTGTTCAGTTTTTCTTCTCGACACTAGCTGCCCCTTCACGCCCCGTCGGTCCGATGCGCCCCACCAGCCCGTTAGCGCCTTTCGGCCCTGTTAGCAACCCCCACCCCTTAGCGCCCCGTCGTCCCCCTCTGGCCCGTTAGCGCCCCGTTAGCACCCCGTTGCCCCCCCCCTCCTCCCCCCTCCCCCCCCCTCTGGCCCGTTCGCGCCCGTCGGCCCCGTTAGCGCCCTCGTCGCCCCCGTGCACCTCCTCTGGACCTGCTCACTTCGCTGGCCCGTTAGCGCCCCGTCGATCCCGTGCGCCCCTCTGGCCCGGCTCGCCCCGCCGGCCTGTAAGCGCCCCGTCGGCTTTTGCCAGCTGGTCGGCCAGCCAGCCGCCCAGCCAGCCAGCTCCAGCCTCGCCGGCCCCCGCTTCAGCGGCCGCCAGCCGGACCGCCGAGTCCCAGCGCTGACCCACCGGCTCCAGCTCCCTTCAGCGCCGGCGCTCTCCACCGCACTCCACCGCACTACACCGCATTCCACTGCCCTCTACCACACTCCACTGCACTCCACCGCACTCCACCGCACCCCACCGCACTACACTGCTCTCCACCGCTCTTCACCGCTTCCTCCACCTGTCCTCCTCACTCTGTCAGCGGCCGTCATCAGCTGCAGCTGTGGCGATGGCGGAGTCACAGCTCCGTCTGGATGCAGAGGGTCAGGCGCTCGACTTTGAGGCATGGCTTGTCGACCTTCGGCGTCACCTTACAGGTCAGCGCCATGACGGTCACTCCCTGGCTGTTCATGTTGATGGCCTGCTTCCCCGCCCCCCTACCCTTGCTGCCCTCCCTGCTGCCCTCCTTGCTGCCCCCACGATTGCTGAGCGTGAGGCCTTTTCCGCTGCACCGCTTGATCGTGCCGTTTGGGACTTGCGTGACACTGTCGCCCAGCTTTCTATCAGCCGTGCGCTTCCGCTGTCTGAGCGTCCTTGCTTTACCACTGTAGCGAACGCCCATACCTTCTTGGATGCTCTCATTGCGCTCTATTCCACCCCTGCCACTGCCTCTGTTGGTCGCCTGATCCTTCCCATGATGTTCCATGATCTTGCGTCCTTCCCCACTGTGACCGACTTTGCCACGCACCTCTGCGCGCTTGAGACGAGCAACCGCTCTGCTAGCACTAAGGCACAGCTCACTGCCCTCCCGTCGCCGTTTTGCGCTACCCTTTATCTCATCGCCACGCGCCTCCCTCACCGCCTAGCCACAGCCCGCGACCACTTCCTTAGCAGCTTCTGTGGGGACCCCTGCCACCATGGTGGACTGGCGGCGCTAGCGGCGGTGGTCGTGGGGGTGGCGGGAACAGCTCGGTGTCGGGTGGCAGCTCGAGCGCGGTCACCTGCCGGTACTAGCTTCAGACCGGTCCTCACCGCAGCACTGTCTGCCTCCGGCCCGGCCACACCGC